TTAAATAAATATCGAAATATATAAAATATTGAAATACATAAATATTTATTTAAAAATATTTATTTACAAATATTTATTTATTTATCTCCTTCACCTTCATTCATGACGTGCCGACAACGTAACCCTGAAAATGAAATTAATTAATTAATTAATAAACGAATGAATAAATAAAATGAATTATATATATATCTCGTGGCATCCATGTGGCAAACAGTGTTGTGTCACTAGTAATATATGAGTGTGTGGAGGCTGAGGCTGAGGCGCAGATGGGCGTCACTTTCATTCTCTCTATTTAAACAACCTGCAGCACAAGCGCCAACGAATCACTTCACCTCCTCAGCGGATAAGAACGAAACCGTGGATTCATATTGCCCACTGATCAAGCATTAAAGCCAAAATGCCAGAGGTAAGAAAGATCTTTTTGTCCTTAAGAACGAGCAAAAAACTTGAGGAGATTTAGTTGGCTAGATTAGTTACACTACTACCTGTTTGAGACACCTGCACTACACTAAGTTAGACGATTTGTTAACAGCCCAGCAAGATCGTTTTTTTTTTGTTGATATTATTATTAGTATTTATTTTTAATTTTTCTAAAAGCAGATCTTCTTTATGATAGCTCTTTTGTTAGTGTGAGGGGTTTTGTAATAAAGTTGTAAACACTTCATATAGTTTATGTTTTAACAAAGATTAACTTGTACAGAGTATAAGTTACTTAGATACAGCGCAAAATAAACGTTTGGTAATAATGATAACAGAAGTCGCTGAGGACGTAAATCACGTAACCATGGCAACACTACGCCGTGCGCTTTCCGTTAGGATTAATATTGACAACAGAAATGCTGAAAATGTTAAACGCTTTATGATTTATGTAGCATATATTTTTTTAAAACTTTAGTATTGTTGACTACTTCAGGATAACTGCGTATAGGGGCGCACAAACCAATTTGGGTTTTACTTGAGAAAATCAGAGATAAAGTAAGTCTATGCCTTATCATAATAAAGTACATTTACTTAAACTTAACGTACATTATAGCATTTTCGATTGAATATAGATTTGCCCATAGATTTGTCATCTACTCTATAAAGTAAATTATAGCAAACGTTTATTAAAAAGTATTAAAAAGATTAATATTGACAACAGAAATGCTGAAAATGTTAAACGCTTTATGATTTATGTAGCATATATTTTAAAAAAACTTTAGTATTGTTGACTACTTCAGGATAACTGCGTATAGGGGCGCACAAACCAATTTGGGTTTTACTTGAGAAAATCAGAGATAAAGTAAGTCTATGCCTTATCATAATAAAGTACATTTACTTAAACTTAACGTACATTATAGCATTTTCGATTGAATATAGATTTGTCCATAGATTTGTCATCTACTCTATAAAGTAAATTATAGCAAACGTTTATTAAAAAGTATTAAAACAAACAAACAAACAACAACAACATTTATACTCACCCTCATGTATGACTTCTCCCTTAACATCAGAGTGAGTAAATTATGACAAAAAAAATATGTATTCTGGGGTGAAAATTTTGCCAGTTTTATTTTAGGGTGCAGGCCAGTTGGGTAAAGGAAAAGTTAGCTTACACAAAACCCAATATTCTTTATATTGTATCGTGTATCGTCACATCGATGCTGTGGAAGGTTATAGTTACTGTAGATTGTACATTTGAGGAAAAAGCTCACATATGTTAAGCATTTTCATCATAGTTCATTATGTCCTTGGTTTGGCTTTATAAATACGTTCTGCTTTGTATTTGCTGCCAGTAATCCCAGTCTGTCATATTAGCTCATGCTTAGAGCTTTACTCAATGTATCATTCTATTACGCTGTTTACATTTGTCGAAATCGGTAACCTCAAAATAAATAAATTCACTCGAAACACAAGATTAGTTTGGGGTGCAGGAACATGGAATTCATTTAGTTTTAATTGAAAAGAAAGAAACATTTGCTGCATTTATGGCCTAGAGAGCTTGCACAGCCAATGATTAGAAACTACAGAGTACTAAAAAAACTTTTTAACCAGTAATAAATTGTATCTTTATGCCCATCACCATTTCAAAGATAATTCACAATTTTGAGCAAATAATGACTTCATTTCCAACATCCTGTCATCCTGTCAAGAGCAGTGTCACAGGTTCAAGACCCTCAAGGTGTCTGTTGTCATAAATCATTTGACCTCTGACACTCCAGTGTCCTTGCTGCTTACCTACCATTGTATACTGCTGGAAGCCCATCCAGACATCTATCAGAGTTTAAATGGCCAGTTGCAGTGCTGTGGAGCATCTCTTATAGATAGGGACCTTGACACAAGGCAAAGAGTGTTTGCATGTCTGTCTCCACATGTTTCAGTCCTTAAAGGATTCATTGATTACATTTTGTGCTATGAACTTCCTAAACTATTTCCTCTTAGGGTTAAAGAATAAAAGCATTTATCAAACAACACTATTGTGTACTTACTAAATGGAAAACAATTAGATTCCCCTTTGTAATGAACTTCAAACAGAATACCGGTGGAGTAACAGGAAATTTCCTTTTGCACAGGAACATTATGTGTAATTCAAGACCCTAGTTATAACATTTTAGTACATAAACAGTCACACACTCTTCGTGTTATAAGTCCTGCAACATAACATGAGACAGACTTATTTTATATGTTTATAGATTTACTCTAATTCAGAACAGCATTACACGGACATTTTCATCCTTTGTGGCATCTCTGCTGGAGATTGAAAGGTTCCACTAAAAAAAGGATTTAGTGACCAGAAAAAAAATCAAGGGTCAAGGGCCTGTGACCTCACCAACCACATAGCAACATGTCTTTTAGAACGGACCACTTAGATGTTTAAGATGGCGTGACAAAAATCCCTAAACTGAAATTACTTTGCTCACAGAAATCACTGTGAAGTCATAGAACTGAGTCACTTTGATTTTTGAAAAGCAGAACCAGCTTAAAGGTTACTTTAACATGACTAGCTAGAAGCCAAACAGCTTTGGGCTTTTGAAGTAGTGTCAACTTTCTAACCAAGCTGAACCATGAAATGATAATAGGATGCAGTGGCAATTTCACAAAAATGCAATGCTCGAGTGCCATAGACAGGTTTGTCTTCAATGATTGGGAGGTCTTATGTCAAATAAATAATAGAAAAAGGTTCAAACTTCACTTGTGTCCCTGTGTGTCCCTTCACCTGTGCATTATTTATTTAAAAATACAGTAAAAACTGTAATATTTTTTTAATATTATTACAATTGAAAAATAACTTTTTATTACAGTGTTATTACAGTTCAAAATTCAGTTTGAATATATTTAGCCCATTTGTTGCACAAGACAAATTTTGTATTATTATCAATGCTGAAAACAGTTTTGCTGAGTAATATTTTTGTGGAAACCATGGTATTTTTTTTTTAAGAATTCTTTGATAAATAGAAAGTTCAAAAGAACAGCGTTCATTTGAAATCTTTTGTAATGTTATAAATGTCTTAACTGTCACTTTTGATCAATTTAATGCATTCTTGCTAAAAAAAATTATTAATTTCTTTATAAAATAACTTAGTGACCACAAACATTTGAGCGGTAGTGTGCTATTAACAAATATATAGTTAATATCAAATATTTTCGGTATGCATTATATACATACATAAACAAACACTTAATAGTAATAAACAGCAAAAAATAAAAAATAAACATACAATGATATAACATGCATAATACATTATAATTTAATCAATTCTCATTAACAAATGATACCCAAAATCAATCCATGATATTAAAATATATTTTATTACATTACATTATATTTTATTATATTTTCCATATTTATGTCCAGGTAATATTTTACCACAAAATCTATTTAATTAATTGATTTTTAATAACCCGAGGACATAGACCTTATGCTAAACATAAGAGAGAAAGCTGAACATCATCTTGATGGGTGTTTAACTTCTGTTTCTTCTCCTTTAACAGTTGCAGTCTTCACCACCGAATGAGAAGATGAGTCTAAGTGCCAGTGAACTGACTGAATTCTTCACTATGTGGGAAGAATTAAACTTCACAGACAACAGTGACAACAACTCGCAGGTGGAAATGCAAATGTGCCTCACATCCTTCAACCGTTCTGCTCTCCTCCATGCTATGTGCACCCTCTACGCCTTCATTTTTGTTGTGGGCCTGGCCGCCAACGTGCTAGTAGTGTGGGTCAACTTGCGTTCACAGCGTTATTACCACGACACACACTTGTATATATTAAACCTAGTGGTGGCTGACCTGTGTGTGGTCGCTACTCTCCCGGTGTGGGTGAGCTCGTGGGCACAGGGCGGTCACTGGCCGTTTGGCCAGGCGGCTTGCAAGCTCACACATCTACTCTTCAGCGTCAACCTTTTCGCCAGCATCTTCTTCCTGGCTTGCATGAGTGTGGACCGGTATCTTTCGGTGGTCCACTCGGGGGAGATTTCTCTCAGAAGAGGACGACAAATACGACGTTTAGTGTGTGCGGTAACATGGATGCTTGCTTTATTCGCCTCCATACCTGACACATACTTCCTGCAGTCTGTAAAGTCACTACACAGTCATGTGACTTTGTGTCATCCTGTATATCCACAAGACAACCCTTTGCAGTGGATGGTGGGCATTCAGCTGAGTTTTGTGGTTCTTGGTTTTGTCATACCCTTCCCTGTTATAACAGTGTCCTATGCGCTGTTGGCAAACACTCTGGCTTCCTCTTCCTCTCATTCCCCTTCAAATGGCGACCAGGATCTCAGCGTGAGCAGGAAGGTCATCCTCACGTACATAGTGGTTTTCATAGCTTGCTGGGCACCCTATCATGCTGTGCTGTTAGCCGATGCGCTAGCGATGCTAGGTGTGTTCCCGCTGGGTTGCAGTTCAGAGAACGGCCTTTTTTTGGCGCTGCACCTTACGCAATGCCTGTCGCTGCTGCACTGCTGTGTGAACCCCGTGGTCTACAGCTTTGCTCACCGTCACTACCGCTATGACCTCATGAAAGCCTTCATCTTTAAATACTCCAAACGTACGAGGTTGGAGCGACTCATGGAGGGCTCTCAGGGCACCGAGATGGAGTACGCAATGGTGGACACCCCTACGGCTGTGAGCTAGGACCCTCAAGAGCAGCATCCTCAACCGAAGTTCTGCACTGCTTCAAAACATGAAGTCCTCTGACATGTTTTTCTGAAATTTAGATAAAGAGAACTAAATGTTTTTCAAATGCTCAACAGTGACTCCAAAGATACTGAAGAATTCATTTGAAATGTGCCAAAGACTGATGGGATTTGGTAAAATCAGAACCACTTTGAGATGTTTTCATTAAATTCTGGTCAAATTTACCATGCGTTCTGTCAAAATTGCAGCAAATGACACCAAAGCAGTGACACCAAAGATTCTAATCAATTCATCTGAAATGTTCCAAAGACTGATAGTATATTTTAACATCAGAACCATGAACACTCAAACAATGAATTGATTCCAAATGAACTGGTAGCCTAAATTTTGTCATTTTGAAGCACCTGATTTTAGTGTGTTACAGCTTGATGCTGTATCATAATTGTGTCCAATAATGACTTCTCAAAAATGTTTGATGGCTTTCAGTCATCATAATATGATACATAATGCAATATGCAAAAATTAAGGCTTGTGAAAAAAAAATGAAGCTGTAAATAAAACAAAGATTATTGGAGTTAGTTTTACAAGAAAAAATACAATGTCAGTCTTTCTACTTCTAAATTTCATGTTTAATTTACTGTTACTTGCTGTTTCTTCATAATTATTTGTGAAACTTACTAGCAATTTCTGAGTGAAAATACTTTATATAACATTTTTATTTGACTGTCTAAGGTCAACAAACCATTAAAATTGTGATAAAGTTCATAAAAAATGTTATTTATATGTAACAGTATAGTGATGTAGCTCTAGGTCTCTGCTTAAATGTGTTCATATTTAGGTTAATTGCTACTGATTCAATTGTGAAAAGCACTTTCTTTGACAAAAGATGGGCTTTTGTGTCTGTGGCAAGAGAATTGGCATTACTTTTGTATTTTGAACAGTCAGTGTTCACATGTTCTCCGCAACAGCACATCCCAACATGTTTTGAAGGATGGAACAAGTCAAAAATAACTTATTTTTAACTGGATTTTTATTGTGCGACTGCGTTTTCATTGTAGGTTTTGTTCATGTGTGTATATGATGTTTTATGACTGGCTGTCAGCTTGTAACAGGGCCTCATGGGTGTACTTGGAAGGGCATTTACTTTAAAGCATATTTTGTCTCTTATAGATGTGTATATTTCAATTATCTGAAAAGTAAGTTAAGTATGTTGTTATATTTATCTTTACTTGCATCAATTTTTGTTATTTTTGAGTTCTGTTGGAACACTGAATACTTAAATGTGCTTGGGAATAAATAATTTGATTCACAATGCTTATTAAATAGATCTCAGTGTAATTTAACAAATAATGACACATCAAATATGTCTTCTATAAAACGTTTTTCTTTCACACATTTGCATATATAGCTTCTCTATGCTATCTGATGGAATATGATGCATGGTTAGGATTAACCCATGTGTGAGCTGGAATTAATATGGATTCAATCTAGCCATACCTTTTATCTTTGATTATCAAAATCAACCCTGTAGAGTATAACTGGTTCACCATCTGTTCAACAATCGTGGCCCCTTTTTATTTACATCCTAAGGGCATCATAAAAACTTAAAGGTAATGGCTACAACACAGTTTCAAACAACAGTGGTGGAAGTTTTTGGTTTAACTGAAAACACATCTCAATATGTTATAAATACAGGATATTAAATTGCAGTCAAAAAGCTTTAACCACATTCTGTACATGCAGCTAAAGTGTTAAAAATATGTAGAACATTTTGTAAATGTAAACGGATATAACTGGAAATACATAAATGACTATGGAAATAAATGTACTGTCTCATCTCTTCTTTCAGTATCTCACGCTGACCTATAAACTCTAAGAAGCTTTCTAGAATGAAATGTTCAATTTAAAAACAAGAGAACAATTTTCAAGATAAACTTGTGTTGATTCTACTTAACGCATGGAAATTATGCAAATAATAATTAAGCAATATCATACAAGCATATCAGGACAAGTTGTAATTTGGCCATGTAATTCATACAACAGTTCAATAAATTCAGTTAAACTTGCAGAAACGATACAACCACACAATCAAAACCCTACAGTGAAACATTATAAAACTCTGACTCTTTCAGTGTATATTTTGATGGAATTAAAGGGTTTAAACATTTACTAGCTTTTAGAGGTTCCAAAACCAAGCTGTAGAGGTTTAGCATATTCAGTAGAACTCAGTAAAACCCTTTTCCCCTCGATTACCCCCCCCCCCACCCCGCCCCTGCCC